AAAGAGGCTCACTGAGGTGACTGGTGATCAAAAGGCTAGCAGCTATCTTGATCAGGATGTCAACGGATCAGCAGTGCCATCCAACGTGGCATTGCTACCAGCCTATTGGGCACCATTCCTGACGGCGGCGCTGGGGGTGACAATTTTTTTATTTTATAAATTATATATTACTAGTGGCCCGCCCTCGCTTAGCTTCGGTGTAGAGCTGTAGTGTAGACTATAGTTTTTGTTCAAAGGATTGTATTATATATACACAATGACTTTCTTCATAATAATTATAAACCTTATGATTTTATTTATTTTTAAGCATTTAACTGCTAGATGTTTAAATCTAAAGAAAAGTTTACTAGAAAAAAATCCACGCGGACCAGGCAGTGGACGGGACTCGAAACCCGCATCCTTCGCTATCTGGGCGAATGCACTGACCATTATGCTACCACGGCCCTATTAGCCGCGTCGAAATTTACCTAGCCTTAAGCTGCAAGGCAGCGCCATCTCTTCGCATTGTAGGTAACCTTCCATTCGTAAAAAATTCGTTGCGTAGTTAAGGACCCGTTGTACCGAATGCAACATTGCTCTGCTGTTTTGATTTAAAAAATATTTTTTTATTGGACAGTGCTTTTATCGAGGAAGGCTATAGGCTATATATTACCAGGCTACAACCAGTAGCAGCGGAGCATCGATGAAGAATGTTGCAAAAACGAGTATAAATATTCCATTTGTAAGATTCCGTTGCGTGCGCTAGGTAAACGGTTAAAGTTACACAAAAATCATGTAGGACGGAATTCTTTCCCTTTAAAAGTTCTATAAAAAGCCCATGACAGCCAATGTCTATATTTTAAGTTTGACTCACTATAAACAATTTTCTTCAAATTAACACGGGTAAAACCGCAGGGGACCTCTAGTTGTGACATAACTGTAATAGTTAGACATATGGTATCGCGGACTTTTTTGTAGATATTGGTATCTTCTATAAAACTTTAGTACATCACTTTGCTCTATTATCAATGACTTTCGCAGCGTACGCGATATAAGGCTATTTTTTACACACGTTGGGTTACATTATCGAAGTTTTCATACGGAACCCTAACTTTTTTGAAAATACTCTATAGCCTTTATTAATAAGTAATAATGTAGCATTCAAATGGTGAAAGAATTTTTAAAATCGGTCCAGTACTTTTTGAGCCAATTCGTTACAAACATACTTACATACAAACTTTTCCTCTTTATAATATTATTAGTATATATATTTAAGTAGTTAAGTAGGTTAAGGTAATTTGAAATGTAAATATTTGGTCATCATGTAGTTTTAAAATTTTTGTTATTTAAATGTAGGTATCTATTTTATTAATAAATGGAATTATAATAAGCGCTACACAAACGGGGTAATATATAAAATGAATCATAATTATCAATGCGTGCACGCAATTAAACACATAGATAAATTTGCATCATACGTTTATTAATGGCGATTGAATAAATAATATAAACATATTATACATCTACAGTAGAACGCCAATTATCCGAACGCCGATTAACCGAATCGCCAATTATCCGAATCGGTCCTAAGCGTAAAAGTATAAAAAATTAAAACCAAGTCATTTTTGTTTTGTTCTAATAAGTTGGAACTCGCTAAAGTCCAGCGAGTATGTTAAATACCTATATATATTTATATCAACTGTTAATGGTTGAAAGCTAGAGGCAAGACACTACATGTTTCACTGTTCTTAATTTTGTTTTGCTACTATGTACCTCTATTATTGTATCTAGTATTGTAGAACTGTGTTTGTTAAACGTAATAAAGTTTATTCTATGTGTGGCAGTTCGTTTTTCTTTATTACTTGTCTATGTCCGATTATCCGTATTTTCGCTTATCCGAATCGACCCCGGTCCCAATTAATTCGGATAATCGGCGTCCTACTGTATCTATATATATATCTTAATATATTAAACTCAAAGGTGACTGACTGACTGACATAGTGATCTATCAACGCACAGCCCAAACCACTGGACGGATCGGGCTGAAATTTGGCATGCAGGTAGATGCTATGACGTAGGAATCCGCTAAGAAAGGATTTTGATCAATTCTACCCCCAAGGGAATAAAATAGGGAATGAAAGTTTGTATGAAACTTTGTCAATTTTAAACCGATCGGGCTGAGACTTTGCATGCAGGTATAAGAAGAATCATAGATAAATGTCATTGTGTATAATACAAGCCTGAGAACAAAAACTGTAGTCTACACTTCAGCTCTACACCGAAGCGAAGCGAGGGCGGGCCGCTAGTTTAATTATAAATATAGATACTGGCACGATACCCATTTGAGACTTGTACGAGACGTAAGTTATCTCAATTAGTTTCCCTAAATGTCTTCTATTTAAATTTCCTAGGAAATGTATACGCTATCAGTGACAATTGTAGTAGGTACGTGCTATCTGTAACGTTAATCACACTTAAGAAAGGGATACATGACTGTGCGGTGTTGTGATAATAGTGAGGATTCACCAAAAATATATTTATCAAAATGGCTTATCGCTGGACGGTAACCCTTCTCATACCGTGACATCTCGCCATTCAAACATGGAGCTGAGACAATGAGGCGTTTACTTGTATCCGATTTCCATATTAAAGGAGCCTTTGTTTCAATTGCTTTGTTTCACTTACTAGCATGTGTATGCATTTAAGCAGAATAAGGTTTGAATCTGGGCATGGTACTGAATGGCCATTTAGACGAGGTTAAGACTAAGTAACTTTGCATTAAGTAAACGCCTTCAGTCCTCGTCAGGGTTACCCGATGATAAAATCAAAAGTCCGGAGAAAAGGCTTGATTTCCATTGAGAAAACCTGAGATTTTTTACAGTTTGAGAATTTTCTCACAAACGTACTTAACAATTTTAAAAAGTCGTAATATTATTGTTTACACTCTGCTTAAACTTCATAATTAAAGAAAAAACCTTACTTAAAAATGTATCTTCACATATTAAGTATGATAAAATTGATTAAGTACCTACTTGGATAATAAAGTACTGAGTTTAATTGTGCAATTACTACCAATAGAATATTATTTTTAGTATGTTTAACTTTTTATTAAAGAGATCTTTAAAACGTTAGCTGTATTTTATTGGAAATGGAAATTAAAAACATCCTGAGATTTTATGAGATTTGCCAAATACAGCCGCAATCCTGTGAGGAGTCCAAAAATCCTGAAATTTCAGGACAAATCCTGAGATATGGTAACCCTAGTCCTCGTTGTAACGTTGCAACGTCATCGTCCTCTATAGCTCGCCATGTTTCGTGTAAAGGAAATTTTCTCCATTCAGTTTATAATAGAAAGCAAATTTGATTCATCCATTGTAATATAAAATTTAAATATGGTGATTATTATGATGTACTTACAAAACTTTTGCTTCGGGGTTTTAATGTACGTAACCGGCATTGCTTAATTTGATTGTTTGGCTCTACTGTTTAAGTAAGCACTCAGAATTCAGCCCCACAAAAGTAACTGAACTTAATGTTCGCCAAATTACAGATACTTTACCTTAATTTAATTAACCGTTTAAATCTAAAGGAAATATAACTAGAAAAAAACGGGACTCGAACCCGCACGCTTCGTAATCCAGGCGAATGCACTGACCAATTATGCTACCGCGGCCCTCACGGACCGCGTCGAAATTCTTCTAGCCATTCTTAAGCTGCAAGGCAGCGCCACCTCTTCGCATTATAGGTTACCCACAATGTCAAATTCGCACCACAATTTCGCATTCGCCCGGATTGCAAAGGGTGCGGGTTCGAGTCCCGTCTGCTGCCTGGTCCGCGTGGAATTTTTTCTAGTTATATTTTCTTTAGATTTAAACATCAAGCAGTTACATGCTTTAAAATAATAGAAATTATAACTTTAATTAACCGTCCTTATTTGACGATTACTTAGCTTTTTTCTAATAAACCTTTTTGGGAACCCAACTACCGATTGAAATCGTTTTTGTTAGGTAGTCAGGCATCTCCTTCAGGCTGAGTTTCGACAAAAGCACACGCACAAAATATTTTTTAAGCAATGTTTTTGGTCAATTAGTATAAAGCTCTGCTCAGCTACGAGCAGCTGCGCTTCTGTGCAAACTCAGCCTTATATAGAGAACTAGCGGCCCGCCCTCTCTTCGCTTCAGTGTAGAGCTGAAGTGTAGACTACAGTTTTTGTTCTCGGGCTTGTATCACAATGACATTCATCTATGATTCTTCTTATACCTGCATGCAAAGTCTCAGCCCGATCGGTTTAAAATTGACAAAGTTTCATACAAACTTTCATTCCCTATTTTATCCCCTTGAGGGTAGAATTGATCAAAATCCTTTCTTAGCGGATGCACACGTCATAACATCTACTTGCACGTCAAATTTCAGCCCGATCCGTCCAGTGGTTTGGGCTGTGCATTGATAGATCACTATGTCAGACAGTCACCTTTGAGTTTTATATATAGAGAATGACTCATTGACGTAATTTTTTTAACATATAGCAAATTAAGCTTTTTTATGTTAAAAGGGTGCTAAACAAGCATATAGCTCGCCTGATGGTAAGATATAAAAATATCACTCGACCCATTGGCAACCCCGACACAATCCCCTACTTACTGATTTTAATTGTCGTTCTATTAAGCTCCTGTCTTTTTTCATACGAGACGCAACAAATTCCCTACCCCATTTGATGTTATGCGGCAGAACGTCACGCTCCAGCCATCCTCACCTTGCCTGCCTTAACCCAATCCCTTAACTCCTGCCTTACCTGATGCCTTTGTAGCGGTCGAAACTCACCATCATTTCCACCACTATTTACATAGGACGTATGCTAAAGTGTACCGTGCGCAATCACACATGTAAACATTGTCCCAGCGCTTGAATACCATACGCGAATAATTAAATATATAAAGCTGTGTATCTTGTACTGCAATAAATATTTCATTTAGTAAGTGCCGTGCCTAATTTATCTGCCTAAACCAGCTATACCTTACCTGATGCCTTACCTGATGCCTTACCTGATGCCTTACCTGATGCCTTACCTGATGCCTTACCTGATGCCTTACCTGATGCCTTACCTCCTGCCTTACCTTCTGCCTTACCTGATGCCTTACCTCCTGCCTTACCTCCTACCTTACCTGATGCCTTACCTCCTGCCTTACCTGATGCCTTACCTCCTGCCTTACCTCCTGCCTCACCTGATGCCTTACCTCCTGCCTTACCTGATGCCTTACCTCCTGCCTTACCTCCTGCCTCACCTGATGCCTTACCTCCTGCCTTACCTGATGCCTTACCTCCTGCCTTACCTCCTGCCTCACCTGATGCCTTACCTCCTGCCTTACCTGATGCCTTACCTCCTGCCTTACCTCCTGCCTCACCTGATGCCTTACCTCCTGCCTTACCTGATGCTTTACCTCCTGCCTTACCTCCTGCCTCACCTGATGCCTTACCTGATGCCTTACCTCCTGCCTTACCTCCTGCCTCACCTGATGCCTTACCTCCTGCCTTACCTCCTGCCTTACCTGATGCCTTACCTCCTGCCTTACCTCCTGCCTCACCTGATGCCTCACCTGATGCCTTACCTCCTGCTTTACCTGATGCCTTACCTCCTGCCTTACCTCCTACCTTACCTGATGCATTACCTCCAGCCTTACCTTTTGCCTTACCTCCTGCCTCACCTGATGCCTTACCTCCAGCCTTACCTTTTGCCTTACCTCCTACCTTACCTGATGCCTTACCTGATGCCTTACCTCCTGCCTTACCTGATGCCTTACCTCCTGCCTTACCTGATGCCTTACCTCCTGCCTTACCTCCTACCTTACCAGATGCCTTACCTCCTACCTTACCTGATGCCTTACCTGATGCCTTACCTCCTGCCTTACCTGATGCCTTACCTTCTACCTTACCTGATGCCTTACCTTCTACCTTACCTGATGCCTTACCTGATGCCTTACCTCCTGCCTTACCTCCTGCCTTACCTTCTACCTTACCTGATGCCTTACCTTCTACCTTACCTGATGCCTTACCTGATGCCTTACCTCCTGCCTTACCTGATGCCTCGCCTGATGCCTTACCTCCTGCCTTACCTCCTGCCAACCCAAGTCCTAGAACTCGAATCACCAGCAGAAACAACATCATCAAAAGTTAAGTATTATTCTATTCTATTGGATCTCGTTTTAATAGTGTATACCGATTCTAAATTCAATATGTAAACATTAATATTTTTTCTTGAATTAAAGTTTTCCGCTAAATCCTTAATTACCCCAAGGGCCATCATTAAACTGCTTAATTCATCCAGGTAAGAGCTCTCTATATGTCAGTGTGAATCAGCGGTGGAATATTTCAATCTCCCCCCGGCTTTGTTTAGTTAATGAATAAAGCAGCCTTTTGTTCCCGGGGGTTATTTGTCCTGCTTAAGGCGCGCGAGGCTTTCCTTCAACCGATCTGACTCTCTGTTTATTAATTAATTGTTATTATATTTTTAATTAACCAAACTTGGTAACTTCGGGGAAGCTCTGCCGTCGAGTTCATAAGAATTAGATTGGAGATTACTGACAGGTGCATGAAACGTGGTAGTTATTTTATGATTGCATCACAAATATAGCAAACAAAATTTTGAATGAAAAGTTTATTCTAACGAACTTTTGTTTCCACGTCAAATATTTCAAAGTAGGAAACTCGATTTTTTTGTAGGAAAACCCGCGCTAAGTGTGGTGATATGAAGTTAAATAAAGACGGAGTAGGTATACGGGTCGTTTAAATAATTAAAATCTTCGATAACTAACGCGGGCTGTAGTAGGTATATGTTCGTCATATTAATTAAGGAAGCACTTACCAGTCTGATTTCCCGATGCCTCTGGATGTGCAGAAATCCCGGGATTTTTGTAACTCTATGAAAATTGCGATGCGACGATACAATTCAATTATTTGCGATGCGACGATACAATTCAATTATATGGATGATGCATGAATGTAGAACGATCAACGACGAATTAAGAACTTACGTGAACATCGTCGGAAGCTGAGGCGGTGCGATCAAGCGCTAACGCGCAAACTTCGAGGTACATAAACCCAAGAAGTAAACAGGACTCCAGAACGGTTTCAGTGCACCTGATTACATAATATGCCGAACACAATTATGCAAGAAATAAAACGATAAATTATATAACCGCAAAAGTAGCGTAACCAAATTGGATACCGGATATTGAGTAATCAATCTGAGCTCAACTGCACCATACTTAATCCTGTAATGCACTTGTATTTTTCGTATTAAAAAAGGTTTTCTAAATTACCTACTAATTCTATTCCATACTTACGCTTTAGTTACAGTTAGAGCATACTAGATTTCCTATTTAAACTGTATCATCCGTTTGGGAAAATAATCTTCACCGTTTATCAACCACATATATAAATACTAAATTTTTGGCGATGTGACAATTATTTGGAGAGTCACGTTCTAGGGTTATACAGGGTAGGGGATGGGTTTTATACTGGCATTTTAAGAATAGCTGGGGTGAAACACTTTTATGCTACATCGGCTATCAAGCCCGAGTGGAGCAAGGTAATTTTTTGCGCCTTGTCGAATAAAAGCAAAAAGATATTACGAGAGCAATATAATATAAGTACCAAACTTACCACAAATCCTTTAGAAAACTTTAAATTTTCAAGTGGTTCTTGTTCGACCTCGATTCTGCACTTAGCACACGAGTTGTAAATAAGTTGCGGAGCGATCCGAGCCTTGGAGTTTGCTACGATGAATAACCCATGAGTGGCGACGGATCGCGGCGACTCCACAACAACTCGGTACGATATGAATACTTGACAAGTATTATGTGTTTATTTATCGTGACGTGTGGAAGTTTGATGGCAGAATAACAGTGATTTGAAACAGCTTATGTTTACTCTTTATATATTCCCACAGGCATAGTATATGTTTAAAACTTGTATGTGTAACTACCTAGCAATAACAGTATATTGCACTGAAGTAATACCCTTGGATAGTGTTGTATTTCTCTCGTTGAGTAATGAATGCTCTATAGGGTAGGAACATGGGTAAAAAACGGCAAGAGGAGGAAGGCTAAGAGAGCATATTTTTCTATCGAATGATGCGCTAGTGACGAACGGTACCCGGTTTGACTCCGGGCTTAGCTCCGGTGAAACACCCTCTCATGGACATTAGCCCTTTAGTCTTGTTTGCAAACAGCTAACAATTTACGTGACGGCCCCAATACTCGCCTTGTCAGTCTCAATTCGCTAATTATTTTACATTACTAACTTCAAAGAGTAGTTTAAAAGCTAAATCGCTTTACATTCCAACCCTCGTCTTTGATGTTTATGACAGCCCTCATATTTCGCAAAGTTACAATCAGTCAGTTGGTAATAAAACAATAACCTGACAAAACTTAATTACTTTCATTGCTAATGAATTTGGCGTCAACATAGTGATTGCTCTATTTTAAGCAGTAAGTAAGATTTATTCAAGGGGTTGTATAGCAACAGAATGTCGATAAAAACCGCGTGAACCCCCAAGGCTAATAATAAACTAATACTTGTCGGTAAGAAGTTAGACTTCTGTCGATCGTTCGATAGCATCAATTAAGCGAAAGTAGACTTATCGAATTTAAGCAAGTCGAAATTATAAAGTTTGCCTCGATACCGAAGCGGGGAATCAGTTTTGAGTATCAAAAGTTCAACGAGCTCATTTAGTGTGGCAGTTTTGCTATATTTCCACACCGATATTTTAGACTAATACAAAGAGTGCCTTAGTACTTTAGTAGCCGAAGCACTTATGATATTTCCGTTGAATATAAAAGAGGATTTTTTTGGGATTTCGTATCTAAAGAGAAGAACTCTATTACTATCTAATAGAGCTGCTATCCGTCGGTTTGTCAGCGCGCAGTATTTAACGGCATAGCGGAATTTCAACTCGAATCGGAGAACTCATCGGAGAACTCATCCGAGAAAGATTTACCCAAAACCTTTACCTTACAGCAAATCGCAGTGAATGACACCTGAATCATTACCTTTTTGGTAGCGTTGTATTTTTTATAATTATAATGACGAGTTAGGTTCCACGGGGTCGAGGATAGGGTCAGGTTTGGAAATAACTTGCGTGATATATCACCCAGGCTATACAACAAGCAGTTTTAAGTTATAGCGACCATATAAAACTACTAGACAACCTTTTTACTATTAAAATCAATTGAAATTTTACCGTACCTGTCTTCCCTTTTGCTGCTATTCATCATCATCAGCCTATTAATGTCCCCACTGCTGCGGCACAGGCCTTACCTATGGATTGAATAGGGAGATTCGGCCATGACCCATCACGCGAGCGGGCGGGTTGCCGGGTGCTAACGACTGCTGATCCAGCCGGGACCAACGGCTTAACGTGCCTTCCAAAGCACGGAGGAACTCGAGATAGAAGATTTATAGTCACCTATCCAATAACGGACCACTGCGAAAGTTGCTGAACTTCAACCTTGGGGTATCACCAAATAGAGGATCAATGTTTTTGACGCTTTTACCAGAAATCTATTATATTCTTTAAGTATCATAAAATTTAAATGAAAGCAGACAAATAATGTCAATAGCATTGATATTTTTCGTATACGTTTATCTGCCAACTCTCTAAGATCTGCATGTACTTACAATACTAAAGTAAGACAATAGAAGCGGAAAGCAAGATTAGATCATCCAAAAGCTTAGTGCAATGCAAAAGGCAGAGTTATTTGTTGAGGACGAACAACGCAGGAAGCAGGTCGTAAATACAACCACACTCTTAAGGATTCGGAGTACGAAAAATTTAGGAATATAATTCGGGCATCCGCCCGCGCCAGGCTACAACGACGACGCGACGGCAAATATCCGAAGTTAATTGCATCCCCTCCCTAATCACCTTAGCTACATGTCGTACTTGGTATTTCCAAGGTCATCAATTTGCATAATATCTTTGCAAAACATTTACGAAATTTAATTCTTTCAAAAGAATATCTGCCAAACCCCATGCAAAATTGCCCATCAGATTTTAGTGTAAATATATTTTCAAACACATTAATATGTTAACACAATAAAATCTGAGTCATTTGTTATTTAATTAGTATGATATAATAGAAGGACCCAGGTTCTTTTTCTTTATAGACTTTTTCACATCTTTTAAAACCTCTATGTTCATCTATGCTACCATTCGCACTAAGCAAAAGCGAAACTTTTGGATATTTTTAATAACAAAGAATAAAAAATATTTAGATCTAAAATTGTATTTCTTTAGCACCAGTGCTGGGGAATTTTGGCAGATCTTCTTATCTATGACAAATAGATCAACCAAACAAGCAATAAATGATTTGTCATTAAAATATACCTGATTGTAATACTACAAAAAAACTTTCTGTACTTAATACCTGGGCAGGTACATGTACCTTTCCATGTGCACCCAAATGCATCTGGGACGATTACAAAGGAGCTCGAGATAATAAAATTTTGGTCACTCGTCTTTAACCAGCCTCCACTATCTAAGACCCAACGCAAACTTTGCGGTAGCTGAAGAGTAGAATCAGTGGTTAAAAGCTACTTTATTAAGTATCCATAAATATGTAACCAGAAATGGTGGCACATGAATAATAAATCACGAATGGGTCTTCAGCAAATTTCAGATGAAGACGTATCGGAATGCGGCTGGAATTACAAAACGACAGCTCGCCGCAAATTCGAAATCCCCAATTCTGAATCCGGCTTACTGAATTACACAGCTGGTTTCCAAAACTAGAACATTATTATATTATGATGAATCTGTGAAGTTGCTTACTTAAGTTAGTAACTTTTATACTTACTATCTCATGTTCTGATTTATTAGTGAGTGTTTTCTTAGATATGATAGGATGCTGATATTTATGAACTAGATATATAGATTTGTTGAAATATGTATGTCTTATTAGATACGGAACGCAACCACGCAACCAAGGTTTTGAATGTTAAAGATGGTCATAAATTAAAGATAATTAAGCACTTTTTTATGTTAAAAAGGTGGGAAACAAGCGTATGGCTCGCCTGATGGTAAGCGGCCACCATAACCTATAGACGCTTGCTATACCAATAATATCACTCACAATGTTGCCTACACTAACCCAATTCGATACCCGTGGAGCTCTGAAACTTTACTCACCGTCGGAAGCCCAATACCACCAAAAGGTAGTGTTATTTCACTTTTCTTTTTTGGAATGTGGAGAAACCCCCATTTCATTGTGAAATTAACCCCCCATGGTTAATTCCTCAGACGGGCGCTCCAATTCGAGTGAAACCTCTC